CATTGGATTCTTTCCATGAACCTCAGTATCTAATGGAGCTCAGAGTGAGCGTATTCTCTGCGTGTTGTTTACACCAAGCCTATTAAAATCCAGTTGTCTTTGCAAAACATAAAATGGTTGTCTCCAAAGTCACTTGGTGCAAAGTGGTTTTCTATTTGATTTCATTTTGTCTTTCCCTCTCAGATAAAGCTTTTGTTTTTTCCTTTGGGAAAATTTACTGTTGTTTGCTTTTTCTCAGATGGACTTTCATTTCCCACTGGTGAAGAGTGTATTTTGTTGGCTGTAATAGAAAGGAGGACATGTAATGTGTTTTGAAAATTTGACTCTAGCAGCATTCGTGCTGAGGCTGTTGTAAGTTCACATTTCAAACATTTATCTCTCTCTGCAGGAAAATCTGTTGTGACAAACAGACTCGTAAACCAGCCTTTTCTCTGGCCATTTGCTTCTACCTGCTGAAATGGAGGTGTTTTGCCGTTTCTGGGCTTAAACACAGCACTCTTTCTAGCTGTGAAACAAGCAGGATAACAATAACCAGAGCAGTTTCACCCTGAAACATTTCAGAGCACTTCAGAAATTCAACTGCTCAACTTACAACTAAAATGCAGCCACTTTTGAGCAGAAATACAGTACTTATTTAACAGCTTGTGTGCACAGCACCCAGGTGTCATCAGGAGTAACAAAGTCAGTGCAGCAGGAGTGATCAATAAATGAGATGAACAGTAACTACGCAAGCTAAAGAAGGCACAGACATAGGGTTTCCTCCTTTGAGGGTGCTGGTTATGGCAGTATTTTACGAGCACCTCTCTTTGCCTCAGACACTGCCTTGCCCCCATGGTGCTTCCTCAGTGTCCATCCTGATGCATGGTTGGGAAATGCTCTGCAACCTGTGTTCTGAACAAGGGGTGCTGGCTCGAAGGGTCGTTCCTAACCCTGAAGGTTGCAGGGAATGGAAAAGGCAAGACCTATGGGTCCCTTCCAGCCCTCTGCTTGTGAATACATTAGCATATGATCAGTGCATGTGTGTCTTAGTTGCATTCATTTCCTTGAATTGAAAGCTGCTGCAAAATGGGGATTTCTTTCAGTTTTTAAAGCTTCTTTATAACAAAAATTAAAGAAAAAATTAAAGGCATTTATCTTGTGTTTTTCTTTGGTGAAGTTTATTAACTAATCCGTGTATTCTGACCTGTGTCTGACTGCTGCTGAAAGTTTTGGCTGATGTAGGAGAAAGAGCAATGATCCATTCTAGCATTGTGCAGACGCTCATCAGGTTCTATTCCAGGAGCTTGCTCTGCTCTACCTGAACAATGCTGCTGCAGGGGATTCCTCACTCCTCACATGCCAGCATCTTTACCTGGGTGCCAGAGCTTTCCCATCCTCGCTCTCCAGTGGTTGCAGACGGAGCCTATTGCCTTTCCCAGGGAGAGCAGGACGTGTGAGTCTGTGTGTGCTAAAGCTCCCGATGCTTCCCTCAGTGGAGACTGTAATGTGCAGAAGCTGATGCCTCTGAGGCAATGGAGGGAGCTGTGTCACCTCAGCCCAACTCTGCTGCCTCCTCCCCACCCAAGCGGGTTTCTCTCCAGGCACCTCAGTCCTGTGGGCAGCTCCATCCCTTGCACCAGCAGCAGGTCAGGATGCTGGAGAGACTTCTTTACCTGTGCAGGTGGAGGGTGAACACGGGCCATGGGCTGTTGCTGTTTCTTTTAGTGAGATCGATTTGCAGTTTGGTCAGGTCTGCTGGTATCTGCAAGCGGGTGTGTGTGGGCTTGTGCTCGGAAAGCTTCATTGACAAGCGCCTCTCCAGAGCACAGCGACACAACAGCACCATTCCCCACAAAGAGCTGCAAGGGAATTGCAAGGGAAATAGAGAAAAACCTTTTGTGCCATTTCATAGAATCCCAGGCTGGTTTGGGTTGGAAGGGATCTTGAAGTTTATCCAGCTCCAACCCCTGCCACGGGCAGGGACACCTTCCACTAGAGCAGGTTGCTCCAAGCCCCTGTGTCCAACCTGGCCTTGACCACTGCCAGGGATGGGGCAGCCACAGCTTCTCTGGGCACCCTGTGCCAGCGCCTCAGCACCCTCACAGGGAAGAACTTCTTCCTTGTGTCCAACCTGAACTTCCCCTGTTTCAGTTTGAACCCATCACCCCTTGTCCTGTCCCTCCAGTCCCTGATGAAGGTCCCTGTCCAGCATCCTTGTAGCCCCCTTCAGACACTGGAAGCTGCTCTGAGGTCTCCACACAGCTTCTCTTCTCCAGGCTGAACAGCCCCAATGTTCTCAGCTTGGCTTCAGATCGGCAGTGCTCCAATCCCCTTATATTCCCCCCTTTTTGTCTTCCCACCCCTTTTCAGCTTTGAAACATTTGATTTAGCTCCTTGCCTGGAGCATCCCCGAGTTTCCTGGCAGCGAGGAATGACGTGGGATTGAAGAACGCTGCATTCCAGCTTTTGAATCTTCACATCTACTGTCTGTGCCCTGAAAATGTTCCAATAACATTCCCGAACTCCAGAACACATGCAAAGATTTCCCTGTAGTCAGTGGCAGTTGGGAAGAGACACTGGGCGCCTGCCTCCAGAGGTCCTGGATTCAAAGTCTGGTGATGGGCTGACTATGTGGTGCTGCTGTATGGAAGTGGGGGTCCTTACTGCGTCTGAAACCTTTCTCTTTCTGATCTTTTGGATACACTTTAAATATCATACTGAACTAATAAAGAGTAACGATTGGGCTACGCTTGGGAATGCGTGATAGCAGGGAATTGGCCTCTGAGCTCCAAAGCTCTTGCTCCTAGTAAACTCTTCCTCCCTGAATTGAATTCCAGTTACTTCTCTCTGGGGAGCCAAGACTGAAATCAGTCTCCGGTATGAATGGTGCCTGAATTAATGCCTTGAGATCTTGAGTCACAAGTGCATGACTTACCCTGGTGCAGCTCTCTTGTGCTTCTTTTTCTGTCTGCCTCAATGCTGGGGGCACCCAGAAGTACTTTTCCCTGTAGTAAATCAGGCCCTGCACTCGGTAGATTAAATACAGTCCTCATCCAGTGGATGAGAACAGCTTGCAAAGGCTGGGTCGCTGTCCTCCTCTCGCAGATGGGCAGGCTGAGGCAGCATGAGCTGGCTTGGAGGCAGGGGATGGAGCTGCACTATCCCTGTGCTTCTCCCGCAAGCTGGCTTTCCTGGAACATGCCGCTTCCCACGTGTGGAAGCATGGGTCAGGATCTGAGCTGGAATTTAAACAGCAGAGCTGTGCAGCTGTCCTGTCCCCTGCCATTTGCTGTCTATGTGCTCTTCCCTAGATGATTTCAAACCTCTAGGTGAGGTCTGGAACAAGTTTTGTTGGGTTTCTTTCAAGGCAAACAGACATCAAGCTTGTAAATCAATAATGATGTGAATAAAAACGTGAGGAGGGGACGGCTGCATAGACAGGGTGATCAGATGCTTCCTGTGTGAGCTCCCATCCACGAGACCTTCTCACACCTTTCCTCCTTCTTGATCCCCTCTTGCTCCTCCGCCTCCCACTGCTTTATTTTAAGGTCTGAAGTTCTAATAGGTGTGTCAGAAATGCCACAGAAAGAAACCAAGTGCCTTGTTAGAAGTTCATATTGTTAAGCTTCAGTATGTGAACAGTGAGCCAGGTTTTGTAAAGTGCAGGAGACTTGCTTGGAAGTCCTCAGGTATAAAACATGTTCTACTTTCAAAGCTTCTTATGTGTTTGCTTCCTCCCTCCCCGCCAGTGTTTTCTTTGCAACCCAGAGGGCTCGTGTTTGGTAAGAAGCCCAAATTCCACTTGATCCAGAATTTGGGGTGAGGAGAACTCCATGTATTGAAAGGCTCGTGCAGCAAGAGCTGGAGCTGCAGACTGCTGCCAGCCGGGCTGGGGGTGTAGGAGTGGGCATGGAGGCCTTGGGATGAGTGCCAGGGGAAGACTCGCTTGGTGACAGCATCCAGAATTGGCCTCACACGTAGTGGCACCGGAGGAGGAAGCCCTCCAAACTGGAGAAGGCACCTTCAGAGGCAGCTGCCACCCCATCATCACAGCAGCGCGAGCTGATCAAGCACTGCACCTGCAGCTTCTCCTGGTTCCAGTGGAAAGGCTTGAAACCTTTGGACCTGTCAGCATGGCAAATGGTAACCCAGCTAGCTTTAAACTGCTTATCTCGGGTACCAGCTGCAGCCTAATGAGAGCTGGGTGCACACTTGCCACCCTACTGAGGAGCACGGACTGAAGTCTCCCCGGCACGCAGAGCCCCTGCAGCAGGGGGTGACCGTTGCTGTGCAGCTTGCACTGGTACACAGGCCATGCTGCTGAGCCTGGTGGTAACGAGTAGCACGTGGTGGTTAGTGCCAGATACTATGTGTTGGATTCCAGGGCTGCTGCAAAAAAACCAATGTGTTTTCAAGTTAAAAACCAGGAAGAAGAGTATCTTGTGAGATGTTCTGCCACAGCAGCACTTACTTGAATATACTGAAAGTGATGTGGCATTTGTTTAGGCAGAGTGTCTCTACCCCTGTAATTATAGCTCACAAATGAGAAGCCAAAAATGATTGAGGATTTGTATGTGGAAAAGCAAGTGCTCTGTGGCCAGGAAGGAATGAGTGTCTGATAAATGAGCTGGTTGAGGCAACTAGGTTTCATCTGGTGTCAGGCTGAGGAAGCCACTGGGGGGAGAGTAAGCTTGCAGATGAATGGAGTTTGTCTGTTTTCTTCCTTAATTTTTTGAAAGTCATTAATCTGCAATGAATTCCCGCTAGGGCTTGACTCATCAGCCTTGAAACTGGAGAGGAACTTTGTTTAAATCAGTAAGAAGTGTGATAAATACAATGATTTTATTTGCTGTAATTGTTAAATTGTGTCTTGAAGCAAAACCTGAAGCTCTTGTCTTTTCTATAGGTACTGTATTATTTCTGTATAGAGGCTGGTGCAGCAGAGCTTTGAGAGCATCGTTTGTAATAACTGTGCTGGTTTGCGCTGGGATCTTAAAACCATTTTTTTCTGTTTGTTTTAGGTGAAGCAGATCATGGAAGAAGCTGTCACCCGGAAATTTGTACATGAAGACAGCAGTCACATCATCGCCTTATGTGGTAAATGGCACACACAAGGGCTAACACTGCATAATCTTACTTCTCCTGTAGAAATGTATTTGCTGTCAGAAGTAAATGCAGGGATTTAAATACTAGAAATGATGGAGTTCAGGTCCATGTCACCTTTTGTTTTCCTTTGCCACTTTCGTGTGTACATTACAAATAAGAAAGTAACTCAGATTAAAACGTCATTATCCAAAATAAGTACCATGCCAAAATGACCGATCTGTGTTTTGTGATGATGGATGAAGGATGGTCTGGTGCTGGATTCTCAATAGAGATCAGCTCCTGTAAGTTCACACCAAGTACTCCTTTGGAGACTTAGCCCCTTCTTTCAGGGCCTGAGAAGGAATTGTTGAATGCTGGTTGAATAGCTCTGAAATCTAGCCCATAATTTACTAGGGCCAATAAAAATTCAACACTATCCATCAACCTTTGGTATCTGGAGAAGAAACATAGCAAGATAGTGCTGAGGATTCAAGATATGTACAATTGTAAATATGTGTGTTGGCTTGTGAGTCCTTGGCTGCTTTCTCTTCATGCTTCAAACTGAAGCCTTAACTGGGAGCGATGCTGAGGGTGGCTGGAGAACAGCCATCATTAGACACGTCTGGATTTCACTGAGCGGAGACTTGCAGCCAAACATAGAGATTAAGAAGAGTGGAAGTTAGATTTGGCTTTGGAGGTAAGTGGGCTGTTTAGGCAAAGCAGCATTGACACATGTTACTGAAAGCCAAACTCGGAGCATGGTTACCTTTTCCTGTTACACCGCTGAAAGTCCAGCTTGCCCTATTGTGTGTAGTTGTTATGTATGTAAGGCTAATCTGTCACTAGCCTGCTTGCTGTTTCCAAGGTTATCCTTTACTTACAGCTTAGGAGAATATGTTCATCCCTGCATATTCAGGAATGTAAGACTCAGCCATATTTTCTGGTTAACATTTATTGCTATTAATACAGACTGTAGCTGTTTCCTCCCTTTAGCTTGTGGTTATTTTAAACATTCCCCTTTTAGCTACAGTATATCTGTACTATACAGAGGGGGAAAAGTAACAGGCAAATGGTCCTGAGCTGGGAGCAGGGGAGGGAAGCCTGAGCCCGTGCCCATGCTGCAGGCTGTGTGCTTGGTCTGGAGAGCTCCTGGTGACGTGTAGCTGTTCTCCAGGTTGGAAGCTGCATCCTGCAGGATGTGCTGCAGTGTTGATGTAAGGGCTGGTGGGGCGGCAGCTATTTCTGTTAAGAGTCTGCTCAGCCAAAATTAGGAATACTCTAAAATCTTCTTAATGTTTCTCCCTGCCTTCCACTGTGATTCCAGTGGGGTTTGTGTTCTGAATTGTGTAGGGTCTGAAGAGCTAATAACTCTCCATGAGCGGCCTTATTACTGCCCAGCAATCCTACCTGTCCTAAGGAAGGCTTCCAGCCTGCAGCTGCTTTGAACATAGGACTTCACTAACTCTGGACCAGAAGCAGGTGATGCTGAATGTTCTGCTATCACTTCAGCTGAGTGAATGGAGAAAGCATTCCTACTACATGTGGCTAATGGCTCCTGGCTGGGGCACTTCTCTTCCTTCCCCCATTCTGGTTTCATCTGCCTCTTCAAGAGGTTTTTCCCTTCCCTTTAAAATTAGATTGGCTCAGGGCATGAGTCATTTTCAGTGAATCTTGGTTATAAATATAGAATTCTTGTGAATCATTTTACTCTCCTGCAAGGCTGAGTTTAGCAAGAGTCTCTTCAATACATGGTAATTGATTTTCAGGGCCTGTCTGCATCAGTAACTGAAAATTCCCTGGCTCTCCCAGGTCCCGAATGGCTGAAGGTGTCAGTTAAATAGCAGGTGCCACTTTTCCTACTCCCTGCTTCCGTACTGCTTTGTTGTGGTACATGGGGTAAGCGTAAGAAGCTCCAAGGCTGAGATGTGCATCCCAAGGCATCTCTGAGCAGAACTTAAGTGCATCATCTGTTAAGCGGAAGGAAGTTTTTCATGTCAGATCACTGCAGGGCATTGAGCCTGAAGGGGTTTCCTCACTGTCTGTCCCTTAAAATATGTCTTCATGGTCCTGGATTCCATCCCCAGGATGCAGTTGGACAGAAGAGTAGCTCATGTTTTGTAGAGTTCATTTGCAAATCTAGAGGAGCTTACATATTTGAATCTATGGAGATAAGTTGGCATCCAGAGGGTGAGGGCCCCTTTCTTGCCCCAAGGTCAGCCTGAAACCACAGAAAACTGTATTAAGGTAGAAGATACAGTCTCAGCACTACCTGTCTCTCATGCTGAGCACTGGGTATTGAAGCAGTGAGCTCACCTTTGCAAGCTCCTGAAGGAAATGCCATTTTCTGGCCACGGGACAGCTCCGTGTTGGCTCCTGGAGGAATAATGCCTCTCTGCAGGTGGGTTCTGCTCACCCAGTGGGAGAGATCTGTTGTAACCACAATGGCTCTGCTTACAGCCTATGGTCTTTACCCGTGTGAGCTGAGAGAAGGAAAACAGTGCTGACATTTTTAGCCTCGTGGGGAAGCAATGACTGCAGATGTTTTTGTATTTGTTCTCAACCCAGTTTATAATCCAGTTACATTCCAGTTACTCTTTCATCCTGTCTGATTTCTGAAAGCTCTTGCTCTGTGACTCAGAGCTGTACAAGTTCACTTTGGACTGAGCAGGGTGGCTTATGTGTGTCACGCTGGGACAGAAAGTCCAAATTCCTTTGGGCTCCAGGCTGCTGTTGAGTGGGTTTCACCAGTCCTGTGTTGTCAGTCGGAGCACAATGAAATGACGCAGCTCTGTGGCTGCTGGAGCATCTTTGTGGACAGGTTTTTCTGCCAGGAGCTGGATGTGGATGCTTCAGCCGGGTTATGTGGTGCCGTTCCCTTAGTAACAGTGGCTGACACCCGTGACGCATGGGCCGTGCTGTGCTGTTCCACTCCGTGCTGTCTCTGCGGGCCAGGGAGAATGCTGTCACTCCTGCATTTCTCCCTACCTCAGTGTCATTTCATTAGCTTTGCCTTCCAAGTCTGTTCTAAAGCAGTGTTTTATCTGGACCAGACTTGCAGACCAGAAACGTTTTCCCCCTTCTAAACCCAAGCAGAAAATTTGCTATTTCTGAATGTGAAGTTCCTGCTCTATCTCCATAGATCTGTTGGGAATATTCACTGCAGGACCTGCAGATCCATGTGCTGGTACATTCCAGACTGGACTTGCAGAGAAGAGGAACAGACCCTCTCCAGTGAGAGGAGGCTCGAGAGCTTGGCTTGCTCAGCCCTGGGAGACAAGCCGGGACCCTCCACTGGGCTGCATTAATCTCACGTTTTGTGGTTTCCATTTCCATTATATGTATTGCTTTTCTCCTCTTATTATCTGATGAAAGTTACTGTTTTTTTCTGAGTAATGCTGTGTTTAAATGTCACAGATCTAAAAGAAAAACAAAATCAATGTCATGATCTGTCCAGTAATGAGTCGGGAAAGGTAATACGTTTGGCTGCAGAGCTGGATCTCAGTGTTAAAGGGAGGTGTTCATGTGTTCTCTGTGACTGTGTTTAGTTATGCATGCAGCCCTTGAAACAAGATGTGACCGCTGCAGCTTGTGATGTAAGGGATCCACGTAGGAAGCAGTCCTTGGAGCAGTGCTCCTTGTGTGAATAATACACCAGAGAGGTGGCCTAAGGCCTTTCAGCTGACATGTGCCATCCCAGCGTGAGCAGACTCTTGCCTGAACACGAGCCCTGTGCTGACTTCCCAGTGATGAGTCCAGTCTTCTCTGGAAGTGCTTACTCCTAATGTGAAGGCCCCATATCCATCCATTGCAGTTTCCTGTCACATAGCCCTGGGGCACCTGGGCTTGGATAACAGAAGGTGCTCCCTTCTTGGGAAATAATTAGAAGGGTATGTTAGCTGGAATAGATCTGTATGGGTCAGTATCTGTTCACTGTGAAAGGACTGGCAAATTCTGAGCAACAGAATGGTTCTGGGTCCTGTTAACACTTTAGAACCATGTGTAACATGATGTGAGTTGATCTGCAAAACACTTGCCAAGAATGGACCAAACAATTTAACAGTTACTTCCCGCCTCTGATGTGGTGTCATCACACCCTCTGAAAGCAGATGAGGGCTCCATTCTTTTTGGAGGTGGTAGACAACAGGGAAGCAATTGTGTTGACTGGATTTTCTGGAGCCATGTGCTTAGTCTGAGGTCAGTTAAGATCTTAAGTTTGAGGGTCTGTAAATCAGGAATACAATCAAATAGCTTCAGCTGAAATCATGGGCATGTCTCTGTCAAAGCTGGCAGTGGAAAACCAGGAAAGCTTTGTGCATGAGTATGGCTGGTGATGCCTCAAGACTGGGTATCTGGGTTATTTCGGGGACAGACAGTGTGTCTGGGTTGCAGGAGAGCCCGGTGGTGCTGGTTAGGAATCCAAGCTGCTAACATACATAAGGGTTAACCACAAAGATGTGGTTAGTTGTGGGACTGTTTCCTCGTTGGTTTTATGATGACTTGTTATCCCATTTTGCACCAAGCTAATTGCGTTTGAAAGAGCAGATCTAATTAGGAACCAGTGACTGCATGATGCTGGAGCTCGGGTTCTGTTTTCTCTCGTTCAGGACCTGAAATCCAAGCAATTATCAGAGTCACTGAACGTCACGATTGCCAGCCCCAAGCAATGAAAAACCATGAGTCAGAAATCTTTCCCTTCGTGGCCCCAAATTACAGGACTGGATTAAAGTTCATGGCAGGAAAATAAAATCGAGGAAGAGAAATGTGTTCCTTAAACACGTTTCTTATCCAGAGGTTTGTATCCAGCGGCATGCTCCGAGATGGGGAAGCTTTCAGGAGAGTATCAAATACCCAAGACTTGCAGTAAAATCATGGACGGCAGCAATTTGGGAAACTGTTTCTTTTTAAGGAGAAATAAGTTCCTGATAGAAACTCTTTCTCTGCCTCCTATTTAAAGTATGGCAACAAAGTATTAAGAGAGAAAAGGAACAGGAGATTGATTTGGAGCTATTTTG